TTCATCCAGCTCTACACCTTGTTATCTCAGATTATCCAGCATCTGCAGTTCCTACCATCTCTAAATTTAAGTCTGATGGTTTTGACAACATAGGACCAATCCTATTGTAAGAAATATTGGTATGTCACCAAGAATATAAAAAGAAGGGGGCAGTTAGTCAAAGACATAGGGCTAGCTGCCATCTGCCAGAGGCCATGGCCCTCGGCTTTAGAGAGAATCTCTAAGGTTTTGGAGTAGATTTGGGGAGAATCGCTGGGTCTCGCGGCCTCCTCTGTCTTAGAGAAAGCACCATCTAAATAACAATGGTGCCAGCGGCACAACTAGTTAATATTCCTAACAGAAGAGTTGATGGAGAAAGCACGGAACGTTCTGGAAGACATGTCTCTCAAAATTACAGCCAGATTACTAAATTATATATTTTTTATATAGTAGGAAGGCTAAAGGGGTTGGGTGAAAGCAGGAACAGGATTGAGATCAACCATGATTATATAGATTGCAGAACAGGCTCAGAAGGGCTGAATGGCCTCCTTCTACTATTTTCTATCATGGAATTACTGAGGGTGCAGATCTCTTTCCAAAGCAGCGATTCGGAGTCTTCTCCAGACAGAAGAAGGAAATTCCTATATTACTAAAAAAAAATCCATGACTTTATCCTGAGTTATTTCTACTTTGTATTGACTAACCTTTCCTCTGTCATAATGGACATCATTGAATGCTGGTTGAATGTTTTACACTGCGGTTCTCTTTTATTTTAAACAAAAGCGAATCTGGTAAGTCTGTGATCCTAGGAAACTTTGGATGAACCCACTTCTTGGAGGAGAATGGCGCAAGAATCCTAAAGCCTCATATTTGCCCTTTTCCTGGTAAAGGCAGAGTTAGTGTTGCTGCAGGGATGTTGTTCTGAAGCTTAATGTCTTGCCCTCGTTGGCACAAACTGCTAAATGTCACCCAATTGTACCAATTCATTATATTTCAGCATATTCAAGCTTTCATTTCCAGATGGTCATTTGTTTTCTGCTGGTCTAAGAGAAAACCAATTGATGGTATTAAAGCATCTGTGTAAGTGAATCTAACCTTTGTACAGCTGAAGCTAATGTAATGTTGCTTCCCTTCCTTGTCTGATTTCTTTCTCAGCTGATTGCGACGATGGAGGAGTGCAAAGATATTTCAATAGCGCTCAGTCCTGACTTCTGTCCTAGTTTCCGACTGGGTTCCAGGAAGTTGTTGTCTGTGATCCAGGAAACCTCTATGTCTTTCTCCCCTGCACCTACAACCTCCCCTGACTGCATAGTCAACATGAGTAATCTTAGTTCCTGTGATGGGTAAGCAATGGTGACAAGGGAGCTACCTTGTCTTTTTCTACCATCTTAGCACTAAAGACTTTGTTTTAACTTCATTCGTGGGTTGAGGGCTTCACTAACTAGGCCAGCACTTATTGCAGTAAAGAATCAACCGCATTGCCATGTGTCTGGAGTCACATGTAGGCCGGACCGGGTAAGGATGGCACTTTCCTTCCCTAAAGAGCCGAGTGACCCCAGATGGGTTTTTCCAATAACTGACAGTGGATTCAAAGTCGTCATTGGACTCTTGAATTCAATAAAAATCTGGAATTAAATTGCCATGGTGGGCTTTGAACCCAGGTCCCCAGAACATTACCAGCAGTCTAACAGTGATATTAAAGAGGTGAGGCAAGGTCCCATTCCACTTCTATACGTGAGTGAGCTGTGGGGAGAAGAAAGTTTTTATGTTTAAAAAAAAAAACTCCTGTTGTGTTTACGTTCATGAAGGCTTATGAAATGGGGAGCCAAATGCTATCTCTGGCAAACCTACCCACGCTCTAGCCAGCTGAGTTGGACAAGTCTAGGATATGAATAAAATAAACGTGCTTGCTTTGTACAGCCTTGTAGCTTTGCACTTTACTTTTGAATTTATCCTGCCAGAGTTGGTTGTGTTATTTGTGAAGTTTGGGGTGGGCAGTATGTTGCTGCTCATGGTCCTCTTCCAACCTGATGGCTGATTTGATAGAATCCAACTGGGAAAAAGTATTATGAGCAACAGTGACTGAAATGAAGATGGGTCTATACAAAAGCATGTATTAGGCTGTTCAAATTCCTTTTTTCATCGTCTTCTCTGTGGCTTAGAACACACTCTCAATCTTCAATAACTTATTGTCCCGTGCCCTGACTTTATCTTCGCTATTTTGACCTTGATCAATTATGTGCTACCCATGAGTTGTGGTTCGCTTAATCTTCCCTCTCTTGCTACCTGTCTGGTGTCAAAGTGCTCTTCCTGACATGCATTCTGGCTTAGATGCAAGATGCTGCCTCAGGAAGAGGATGTTTACCATGGAGGGAGTGCACTGGAGGTTGACCAGACTGATTCCTGGGTCCGTCCCATGAGGAGAGATTTGAACAAAGTGGGCCTGGATTCTCCAGGGTTTGGAAGAAATGAGACGCGATCTCACAGAAACTTACTACATTCTTCAAGGGCTTGACATAGGTGCAGAAAGAATGTTTTCTAGAACTGGGGCAAGCCTTTTAGGACAGAGATGAAAGTATTGCTGTAGATGGAGGGCTATAGAAGCTCAGCCATTGACTAGATTCAAGATAGAAATTGACCGATTACTGAATATTAATGACATCAAAGGGTACGGGGATACAGGAAAACGGTGTAGAGGTGGATGATCGGCCATGATCTATAACGTTTCAATGTTATATAAATGCAAATTGTGTTTTTATTCTAGAGGAAGGCTATTTTGTTTGGTTTTAATTGTTACCCAGCAATCGCAACAGCTGTCAAAGACCTATTCTAAAAGCTATTTGGAGCAATTGTCTTGTAGCTCAGTTGGCTGGATGGTTGGCTTGTGAGCTTAAAAAGTGACCCCTACAGCGCAGGTTCAATTCCTGTACTGGCTGAGGTCGTCATTTAAAGACCCTGCCTTCTCGGCCTCTCCCCTTGGCCGAGGCATGCTGACACTTGGGTTAAACCCGTCAGCAGTCCCCTTTTCCCCCCTCTCGTGAGAGTTGTCTATGGTCCTCTGGAGGTGGTGACCACCGTTTTCCCCGGGAAGGATAGATAGTGGCTCGAGGCCAAATGACAATGTAGTGACTTATTAGCATAAGGATGGTGTCGAAGAAAAGTGCAGGGAATTTGTTGCTGTTGACTGGCAGGAAGATCCTGCTTTTGAGATAAATAATAAATAGCCTTGGACAATTTGATTTTAAACCGTGTAATTGAATTTCCTGAAGAGAAGTACAGTTATGAAGTGAGCTTCAATTCCTCCCAGTTGTTAAATGCCCTCTGGGACATTGATAATGAACGAACACTGACAAAGAAATGTTATGTTCCTGGTGGAAACTGTACTGAACAAGGAAATTATTTTACAGCAAAACTGTGTACTCAGGAAGTGCACCACTTAATACTAGATCATGATTCAGAGGTGTCATTGTGAGAAACAAGATTCGGTTAGCATCCAATCTAAAGATCTCACTCACATTCTGAGTGGTAATATTGTTTTTTGTGTTCATTTGGGGTTACTTCTTTTTGTGGTATCCCACTGGAGCTGTTTGGGTTATTTGTCAGCTGGCAATTTTTTCTGTTGCTTCCAGACTTGGGAGACTGGTAAGAAATGCCAAGCAAAGGGTATATTTTAAGAGGAAGGTTAGAGAGAATTAATAGCTAAGGGTGGCTGGAAAATAGGCTGCAGCATTTGTGACCTGCTCATGTTGGTGAAATGAAACGAGCGATTAACAGAAACTTTACAGTGGAACAAGGAAAGGCTTTCACGGTACCTCCGCTGCACAGAACAAGAGACATAGGGGTTGTTTTTATAGGAATGCACGTGTGTTAGTTTTGCTTGAGAAATGGAGCAACCACCCCCAACATCGTTAAAAATCTGCAGATAATTTTCTGAGCTTTTCAGTGAAAAGCTGAGCTTGATAATCGGAGGTTCTTTTAGAATTTGACAAACTGAGGTCAGAGAAAGTGAAGGAGTGATTGAGTTCCACTCAGGCTGAAGTTAAAGAAACCCAAATAATGAGGTTTTTTAAAAAGAAATTCCTAAGAAGAAAAGGTGCAAGCGGATGAACTTTGAATGGGTTTTTGATCACTGCAGTTGGAATAGTTCAAAGACCTAAAATGCATGTTCCAAATGTGAAACACTGATTTTTTTTTTTAATATATAGGCGAGTAGGCCAAAAAAACCAGTGTTGAACTTAAGAAATGTAAACAGAAATTGCTGAAAAAATGTTCCATTCTGAGGAAGGGTCACTGGACCCTGAAAGTTAACTCTGCTTTCTCACCACAGATGTTGCCAGACCTGCTGAGTTTTTCCAGCAATTTCTGGTTTTTGTTTGATTTCCAGCATTTGCAGTTCTCTCTCTTTGTTTTTTTTTGTCTTTTTTTATATAGTGTTGAAAATGTCTTTATTCCCCCATCACTTATGTCAGGAAGGAGTCAAAACTGTGGCAGTAACATTTAAAGATCTGTCTCGATCCGCAGGAAATTGGCTGGAAGCAAACCATGAGAGTGGGAAAAGGACATACAGTATGTTTGAGGGGAGACATAAAGTTGAATAAGTTGTGGCTGATGGTGGATATGTACCATGGAATAGCCAAGTCATCCGTGTGTTGTCTTTCTTTTGTATCTAAACAAAAATGAAATTGATGTTTCACATACTTTGAACGAAAATAAGCAATGATTTTGTGGTGCAATTGTCTACAGTCTGAAAGCTTATGTAAGGATAAACATGGTCAGCTTATATAGGAGCGGATTAACAATTTGCCCTGATGGTCAGAACTGAGCAGCAACAAGTATTGTACAAATTGCAGCTAAGTAACTCTGGCTCTCTTTCAGCGAGACTCCAAAACGTTGCCTGAATATGTCAAATCTGAGTAATGGCAGTGAGGCATCAACATCCCCGGAGTACGTAGGCAGAGGTCAGTAACAGTTTTTCAAACTTATTATCTTTAATGTGAAATAGCAAAACGCATCTTTCCTTAAACTATTTATTACCATCTCTTTGGAATGAAAATAAGAAATGTTAGCAAACGCAGTGACATCTGTGAAGAGAGCGAGACACGACTCCAAGTGTGTTGCTTCAATGAACTTTCATCCAAGTACATCTTTTGAGGTTTTATATTCAGGATGTTTAGTAAAGTGCTGGGTGATGCGTATCGCAACTTCTTTGAAGTTCAAAACTTTACAAGAAAATTAAATGTTTTTTTAAACTTTGGCGAGACTGGTCCCCAGCAAACAAAACTAAGCGAATAACTGAACTGTTGACATCTTCATATAAAATATAAACAAAATAAGGATTATTTATGTCGAGGTTTAATTCTACAGCAGACTCTCTATTTATCCAGCTACAACAAATGTTGGTACCAGAGTGGACTAAGAAGGAGTTTCTTCTGTGGGAGGGTGAGAAGTTAGCAGCTAAATAATGAGGCAGATCCGCAAATGTAATCCTCTGAGTTATGAACTGCGCCATATGCAATTGGCGTAGGCTAAATAAGATCGAAACATCTAATGTGTGGCTCAAAGATTGAAGTGTGAAACATAGATTTTGATTCATGGAACACTCTCTCTAGCACTGGGGAAGAGTTGGAATATCCTTTCCTTGAACCATACCAGGACCAGTGTCCTACCAAATTGTATTTAACTCGAGTTTTGGAAAGTTTGTAGAAAAAGGACGTGGAATTATCACCGTTTGGAACTAGATAACCAGAGTGTGACAGGAAGGGACAGCTAATAAATGTCAAAGTACTCCAACAAATACATTTTAGAATCGAAAAAAAAATAGTTAAATGGAGAAGTTCTAACATGGATGAATTGATAGAAACGGGAATATTAAAGTATGATAACTATAAAATAGACATGGTTGCAAAGTGACCAAGATTGGAAATGGAATATTCGAAGTTATTGGAAGGTTGAAAAAGAAAAATAAGCTGGGGTTGCTTGGTCAATAAAGCACAGAATCTGTACAGTAGTGAAACATGATCTTTGCTCGGAAGATGTAGAATCAGTTCATGTGGACCCCCCCCAAAGTGTAGGATGGAATATAAAGCAAAAGGTAATGTGGATCAGTTAGAGAGACCATGTTAATTGTGGATATGATTAATCGTGGACAAAGCCAATTTGAAATTTGAGGAATGAGTTTGTAGAGTGAATTTGAAACTGTTCCTTACAACAATGCATTCAGGAATCAATTGGAACAGATTATAATTGGAAGTAGGAATGGGTATGTGACAATGTTAATGTCATGACCTTAAACAAAGGATCCTCTGGACTGGAATGCTCTTTTCAATAATAGAATTTCACATTCAGTTGGAAGGTGGGAAAACTTGGGGTCCAAAACTCTCAAAAATTTTAATTGAAGATAGTTACAAGGCTGTAAGAATGTCTTAAAAGAAAGAGCAGCTAAAGTAAGTGTTGGTCCCTTGGAGTATGACAGTGGAACATTATTAATTACACCTCCTTTCTCAATAGAAGATGCACAAAGCATTTTGAGCATTTTAGAAAGTAAAGAGTCATACAGCATGGAAACAGACCCTTTGGTCCAACCAGTCCATGCTGAACATAATCCCAAACTAAACTGGTCCCACCTGCCTGCTCCTGGCCCATATCCCTCCAAACCTTTCTTAACCATGTACTTATCCAAATGTCTTTTAAACATTGTAACTGTACCCACATCCACCACATCCTCCGGAAGTTCATTCCGCACGCAAACCACTCTTTCGTTTTTTTTTAAAAAAAAAGAAATTGTCCCTCATGTCTTTTCAAATCTCTCCTCTCACCTCAAAAATATGCCCCCAGTCATGAAATCCCCCCATTGCGGGAAAAGACACCTGCCATTTACCCTATTTACACACCTCATGATTTTATAAACCTCTATAAGGTCACCCTGCAACCCCGTATGCTCCATTGAAAACAGTCCCAGCCTATCCAGCCTCTCCCTATAACTCAAACCCTCCATCCTGACAAATTTTCTGAACCCTCTCCAGCTTAATGATATCTTAGCAAGGAGACCTGGCTAGAATAGTAAGAGATCTAGATCTGTCCAGTTTGCTTTAAACAGAACTGCAACTGTTGACCGACAGTGCACTGTTTCAATGGGGCTGGTGGCAAGGGCAAAACAGACAAAAATTAAAAGAACGAGAGGATAAATACAAACAATCTGTCTCTTTTTGTTTCAGGTTTATGCCTCGACTCGCCTGGCCTAACCGATGTACAATTGGAATTGTAAGTAACGTTCTAATATATTTCAACTGAGTGGATGAGAACCCTTAACCATGTGTGCTAAAGAAATTCATGTAGATTGGAAAATGAAATCCACAAACTAAAATGGTTATGCATGTAGCTGTATTTTGTGCTGTCAAAGTGAAATGCAGCTTTTTTCTTTAAAAGTAATGTTTGCTCATCACTTTTTTTATGACAGTGTGAGACTAAAGATTGCGAACAGGAGCGAAAGGCTAGAATTCTTAGAACTGTTCTTCGAGGCCATTGATGTTCCAAAAGTGGCCTCACTGAGTTCAGTTTCTGGTCTCACTGCTATAGGAAAGATGTTAAACTTGAAAGGGTTCGGAAAAGATTTACAAGGATTTGTCAGGTTTGGAGGGTTTGAGCTATAGGGAGAGGCTGAATAGGCTGGGGCTATTTTCCCTGGACCGTCGGAGGGTGAGGGGTGACGTTTTTTATAGAGGTTTATAAAATCATGAGGGACCTGAATAGGGTGAACGGCCAAGGTCTTTCTCCCACGGTAGGGAGGAGTCCAAAACTCGAGGGTGTAGGTTTACAGTGAGAGGGGAAAGATTTAATAGGGACCTGAGGGGCAATGTTTTCACGCAGAGGGTGGTGCATGTATGGAATGAGCTGCGGGAGGTGGAGGCTGGTACAATTACAACATTTAAAAAGCATACAGATGGGTACATGAATAGGAACGGTGTAGATGGATATGGGCCAAATGCTGGTAAATTGGACTAGCTTAATTTAGGATATCTGGTCAGCATGGATGAGTTGGACAGAAGGGTCTGTTTCTGTGCTGTACAGATCTATGATTCTATATCCCTGGTTACTTGCCAGCTGACTTGTGTTGGGGATACCATTAATATGTTCTGTGGTAGCTGTTCAGGGAGGTAGTTACCTTAGAGTGTTATCTCCTTGTTACACAAGTATTAGCATTACCCCTCCCATAGCTGCCTGAATGTTGCTGTACAGCTTCCTTTTAGACTGAAGACTGAGTTTGTTTTAACGAACGTGAAAATGCATCAACTGAGGCACAACGCTACCTCCAGTGACTCGAAGCATTGCGGAGAGGTCGGCACCTCTTTGCGAGTCAAACTGAACATGCCTCAAAGTCTGAGGTTGGTAAGTTCAAGTGCATGAGGACATATTCCTGGCTGACAGTGTGGCACTTCTGTGGGATCAGCTCAGAGCTTTAAAAGCAGCTGCAGTTAACGCAGTCTGTCTATGTTGTGGGCAATAAAACAGCACGTTGATTGTAGCTAATCCTGGACTATGTGCCAAATTTCACAACTTGCCTCTTTTTTTTAGAAAGAATGTGTTCGGTTCATGTGTTTCAGGTCTTCAAGATACCGTGAAACACTTTCAAAGTTTGTTCATAGTTTGAATCTAGGCAGCCAGTTTATGCAGTGCAGTGAGATAAAGTCCAGACAATTTGTTCTTGACACTCTGTGTCGTTCAAGGGATAACTCATTTCCAGGACATCAGTGTGCTCCCTTCTGCTCTGAAGTTAGTGCCATGGAGACGGGGTTTTGCATTGATCTGAGTGGGTAGACTTCTTTGTTTATTCATTCATGCGATGAGGGTCTCGTTGGCTAGGCCAGTATTTATTGTCCATCCCTAATTGCCCAGAGGGCAGCTCTGAGTCAAGCACATTGCTGTGGGTCTGGAGTCACATGTAGGCCCAGACCGGGTAAGGATGGCAGTTTCCTTCCTTAAAGGACATTAGTGAACCAGATGGGTTTTTCCCAACAATGGATTCATGGTTATCATTAGATTCTTAATTCCAGATATTTAGTGAATTCAAATTCCACCACCTGCTGTGGCGGGATTCGAGCCCGGATCCTTGGAATGTTATCTGGGTCTCTGGATTAACAGTCTAGCGATAATGCCGCTAGTCCATCGCCTCCCTGAGGAGCCAGATGAGCCTGGCCTTTAGGTTTCGTCCAAGAGATGACGTGTTTGACAGTGTAGCCCTGTCACAGTCATGCACTGGTGTGTCATCAAGAGTATTTACTTGTGTTGAGCGAGGGACTTATCCTTACAATGTTCCTACTCCTGGACAATGGGGGCCGCTCGGTGGTTTGCACTGCTGCCTCACAGCGCCAGGCACCCAGGTTCAATTCCACCCTCTGGCAAGTCTGTGTGGAGTTTGCACATTGTCCCCGTGTCTGCATGGGTTTCGCCTGGCAGCTCAGTTTTCCTTCCACAGTCCAAAAATGTGCAGGCTAGGGTGGATTGGCCATGCGAAATTGCCCCGTAGTGTTCAGGGATGTTTAGATTAGGTGGGTTATAGGGGGATGGGTCTGGGTGGGATGCTCTGAGGGTCGGTGTGGACTTGTTGGGCCAAAGGGCCTGTTTCCACACTGTAGGGATTCTATAAACTCTGCGGACAATTACTTTTCCGCTTATTGTGAAATAACGCTTCTCTCGTCTTAATGTTTCCTTGGGAGAAACCTGGACTTTATTCAGTTGTGGGACATGGGTGTCCCTCGCCCTGGGCCAACATTTTTACTGCCTGTCCCAGTTACCCTTGAGAAGGTGGTGATGAGCTGCTTTCTTGAACTGTGGCATTCTACGTGCTGTAGGTAGACCCACAATGCTGCTAGGGAGGGAATTCCAGGATTTTGACCCAGTGATGGAGAAGTAGTTCAGGAGGAAGGGCAAATCAGCCTGCTTAATTGGCACCACATCCACAAATAGCCACGCCATTCACCACCGATACTCTGTAGTAGCAGTGTGTACCACCCACAAGATCCACAGCAGCAGCCCAGCAAGTGTTTCTTCTGCAGTACTTTCCAAACCCATGACTATTTCCAACAGGAGGCTAAGAGCAGCATGAGTTGGCACACCAACCCCTTGCAAGTTTCCCTCCAAGCCACTCCCCATCCTGACTTGGAAATATATCACCGTTCCTTCACTGTCTCTGGGTCAAAATCCTGGAATTCCCTCCTTTTGAAGGCATTGTGGATCAACCCGCAGCACATGGACTGCAGCGGTTCAAGAAGGCAGCTCAACACCCCCACCTTCTCAAGGGGGCAACTAGGGATAAATGCTGGGCCCAGTCACCGAGGCCCACATCCCACAAAATGAATAAATAAAAAGTTGATTTCTTTACAGAATAACGGAGACCTGCGGGTGAGTTACTGTACAATCTGGTATCTAACGGAGTGGTGCAGGATGAATTAACGTAGCAGAACACCACTGTACCAAGCATCTGTGATTTGTTCCTTCACTCTCGCTGGGTCATAATCCTGAAATGCCATCCCTTTACAGCATTGTACAACGCACAGCAAATGGACTGTAACCGTAGGGGAAGGCAACTCCCCACCATCTTCTCAAGGGCACCTCATAAATGGTATCCCAACCAGCGATGTCCACATTCCATTAATGAATTAAAAAGACAGGTTGGAGTACTGCAGATGCCGTGTTGAATTTTATTGAAAGAGCCCTAACAATTTAATATGGAGTTCTCGAAGATTCCCATTCTGTGGCATTTCTCCCCTCCGTGGTTCGATTTGCCGTAGAATTTGATTTTTGTGAATTTCCTGTTGCAGCTTCAGTTTCTGCCTCTTGCTTCCTCAATACTTAAATGGCCTTTCTGCTGTCTGTTACTGTTTGTGGCGTTGGATGCAACTACCTTCGCTGATGGGTCTTTTTTATTTATTTCAACAGCAAGCAGCCCACAGGAAGAACACAGCCGCTTCTGGTAAGAACCTGCATTGTTGATGAGAAGCAGCTCTTCAGGCTGTGCAGAGCTAAGGAGGATCAAGGGAGAAAAGGTGTCAATTCCTGGTGTCTGTTAGCATAAGCACAGTCTAATTTGTTGAACGCACCCATCTAAGAGATGGGCATGTGCTTTTCAGAGCTGTGGTGAGGCTATGTAAGAGAGGTGTGTGAAGAGAATGTGTTTTACATCGTTATGACCCTGGCTGATGGTACTACAGGGCAAGCTCAATCCCAGAAGAAACCTGGCTTGATTTTTTTTTTTTAATTTTGGTTCTATCATGATGGTTAGTTACTGGTGAATCTGTAGATGTTCTTTTAAAGTAGAATGTAGGCTTATTACACAAAGAAAGCAAACAATCAAAGTTGTGTTAAAAAGGTCTTAGTACAAACAAGGCAACAAACTTTCAACCTGTTTCTCAACACCATTCATTGAAGAGACTCCAATCTAAAGAAATTACACCTTCCATCTTAACTCTTTAGGTTTCTAGTCAGTCCCTTCCAGGATCTTTCCCATGGACTGCAGAGACAATTTGATGATCCCTTTCTGAGTCTGTCCACAAATCTGAGAGCCTAAACTTTCTCCGCTCCAATAACCTGGAGGTTTCTATCAATCTCTCCTGGTCTGGAAGCTCCTCAAACTAGACCCTTCTGCAGAGGTAACTGGCTTCCATCTGAACTCTCGCCACGAGAGACAACTAAAACTTACTTCTGAACTAAACTCTGTTTTGCGAGCTAAACCACTTCATGCTTTTTTGAGAAAAAAAAAAGCATGTTTATGAACTTAATCACTTACTCTTCTGAACTGAGCTCTTGACTTCTCTGCTCTGGAGCAAAAACCAAACTAATGGCTTCATGTGTTTACACTGGCTGTAGTAGACCAGACAGTATCAACATCTTATCCCACTAACACCACTGGGGTCTAAAGTCATGCTTCCTGAGCAACGCTGGATTGAGGACCCCATTCCATAAGACTTACTGATCCTTTTGTAAAAAAATTCTTCTCTACTCTTTTTAAATTGGTCCAAATTCCAAAGATAACAATTGGGGGAGGTAATGGCCTAGCGGCATTATCGCTGGACTGTTAATTCTGAGACACAGGTAATGTTCTGGGGACCCAGGTTCAAATCCCGCCATGGCAGATGGAGTTTGAATTCAATAAACATCTGGAATTAACGGTCTAATAACGACCGTGAATCCATTGTCAATTATCAGGAAAACCCATCTGGTTCACTCATGCCCTTTAGGGAAGGAAACTGCCATCCTTACCTGGTCTGGCCTACATGTGACTCCAGACCCACAGCAATGTGGTTGACGCTGAACTGCCCCCTGGGCAATTAGGGACGGGCAATAAATGCTGGTTTAGCCAGCGACACCCACATCCCTTGAATGGATAAAGAAAACAAAGTGTAGGTTACACAGCTTTCGTCACACTGTTTAAAAATTAAGTAAGACAAAAATGATCTGGATATAAAGCGGACTGTTGATGGAATTTGGAATGTAGGGTTAATTAAAACAAACATGAAGTTTCAAGTTTGCCCTTTTTTTTTTAAAAAGACGTCTCAGAACCTGTGAAGTGTAGGAATGCTCAGAAGATGCGGTTACATTAATGGCCTTATTCTAGCCAGTCACTTTTAAAACAATCAAATGGAACCCCTGCTTATCTATGAACAGTCCCTCAAAGTGACTTTTTAAGGAGAGGAAATAGAAATTGTAAAACTGTATTTTAAAGATTATCCCTGCTAAACAATTACTCCAGTAGTAACACCTACTGGGGTTGGTCAAGATCCCGATTAAAGATAATAGTACAGACCTCCATCGGGTATTAATGCAGCGTCTGGTGACCATAAGCTCCGAGGTTGAGAGTTCAAATCCTGTCTCAATTCGATGAATCAAATCATTGTGGATTAGTATCAGAAATATAACCCCTAAAGGCAGCTGTACCATTGCCTTTAAAACTCACATGGCCTCAGTAGTATCCTTTGTGCAATCTTCTGTTACATATCTGACAGACAAGCCCTCTCCAATGCATCGATCAAACAGCTAACTCCAGAAAATAAGGAGGTTAAATCATTGGTGTATTTGCCTTGCAGCCTAAGGTCCTCTGTAGCAGTCCGATGTTCAGTGAGTCTGGCTGTTGGAGCCCGGTTCAGGACCGTGTGGATTTCCAAAGCCTTGGGCACAACAAGGAAAATGTGAGGAGTCTACTTTCTTTCATTTTGAAATTAATTTCCTTGGAAGCTCTGACATTTTCTTTCATTGCCTTGTGTTCACCAGTCATCTACTTGCTTGGCTTTGACAACTCGATCGCAGTCAGTACTATTGACGTTGAGTTTGTTTTTCCAGAAAGTCCAGCTGGTCAGACTGCTTCCTGTTTGGTTGTTAAGTGTCAGTGGTAGAATTAGAATGTTTGGGTAGCAGACCAGCCTTGACGTTGACTGACTGACTGTGATGGTTTTCATCGTCAATGCCTCAAAGAATTCTTTAAACATAGAACGTAGAACTGCACAGCACAGGAATGGCCCCTTCAGCCCACAATGTTGTGCTGAACGTGCCGCTAAATTAAACTAATCCCTTCTGCCTGTCCTTGATCCATACCCCTCCATTCCTTGCTTATCTAAAAGCCCCTTAAATGCCCCTATCATATCTGCCTCCACCACCACCCCTGGCAGTGAGTTCCAGATTCTTACCACTCTGAAAATAAAAACTTGCCCCTCACATCTCCCTTGAACTTCCTCCTCTCGCATTACATGCATATGCCCCCTAGTATTAGATATTTCAACTGTGGGGGGTGAAAGGGTCTGACTGTCAACCCTATCTATGTGTCTCATAATTTTATAGACTTCTATCAAGTCTCCCCTCCGCCTCTCCACTCCAGAGAAAACAACCTGAATTTTTCTAGCCTCTCCTTATAACTCATACCCTCTAATCCAGGCAGCATCCTGGTAAACCTCTTCTGCACCCTCTCCAAAGCCTGCACATCCTTCCTATGGTGTGGTGACCAGGACTGAACGCAATACTATAAATGTGGCCTAACCAAAGTCTTATAAAGCTGCAACATGACATCCTGACTCTTGTACTCCATTCCCCAACCAATAAAGCCAAGCTTGCCATACACCACCTTCACCCCATCTATTTGCGTGGCCACTTTCAGGGAGCTATGGACTTGAACCCCAAGATCCCTCTGTACATCAATGCTGTTTAGGGTCCTGCCATTAACTGTATAGTTTTCATTAACATTTGATCTCCCAACGTGCAGCACCTCACACTTTACCCAGATCAAACTCCACCTGCCATTTCTGCACCCATATCTCCAACTGATCTATAACCTTTGTAAACCTTCTACACTATCCACAACTGGATTTGTGTTGTCTGCAAACTTACTCCCCCACCCATCTACATTTTCTTCCAATTCTTCTGATCCTTTGACACGCGGGAAGGACACTGGTTCAAACCCCACGTTTCCCAAACTCCCAGGAAAGCCTTGATCCCCTTGCAAGTTCCCGAAGTCTGTGGAACACCGTCTTCCAAGCCGTCCGTGGTGAGTCCCTACTTAAACTGACGTGTTATGGAATTGAAATTGCTCTGCTTTCCCACTTGTGTCTTCTCCTTCTGTCTCCCAACCTGCTGCTGCTCTGAGGTAAAGGAGTGTCCCTGGATTGGTTGACTGTGTCATTAAGTTGACATTGTTCCTTCCCTTTGAGACCAGTTGGTGCTGAGATGCACTAATCGAGGATTCAGTCTTCCTGGTCTCATCTGTCTGCCCCTTATGCTCCATCTAATGACTGAGCCATGAGGGTAGACTTTAAATTTAGTTAGTGTTTTATTTTTATCAGGAAATCAAGGCTGGTATTTAGTAGCCATTCCCCAGTGGCTTGCAGGTATGTGTTGGGCTGCTTCTTAGATTCATTGCAGTGGAGTGAAGCAATTCCAGCACTGTGGTCGTTGTTAGGGAGGGAATTCCAGGATTCTAAGCCAATGACCACGGTAATGTTCCAATGTACCACTGACCCCTGACCTTCAGCTGCTGGAGTTAGGGGTGCGTAGTGTATCAGACAGCTGGCATACCCTCTGTTCTGGCTGAAGGAAGTGAATGTTGAACTGGGTAAATGCTGGTTGCCTTAGTGATGATCTCTGAGCGTTCTTGCATTAATTTAGGCTCACTTGCTCCTGACTTGTGCCTTGTAGAGGGTGGAGGAGGGGCTTTGGGAATTAGAATTATAGAATCGCAACAGTGTGGAAACGGGCCATTCAGCCCATCAAGTCCTCTGACGAGCATCCTACCTAGACCTGCTCCCCCTGCCCAGTGCTTGTAATCCTGCATTTCCCGTGGCTAATCCAACTAGCCTGCACATCCCTGGACTCTACGGGCAATTTAGCACGGCCTATCCACCTAACCCGCACATCTTTGGACTGTGGGAGGAAACCGGAGCACCCGGAGGAAACCCACACAGACATGGACAGAATGTGCAAGCTCCACAGTCGCCCGAAGGTGGAATTGAACCTGGGTCCCTGGCGCTGTGAGGCAGCAGTGCTAACCACTGAGCTACTGCGCCACCCTTTGATCTTAGCTGATGATCCACTCACCAAAAAATACCTACCCTCGCAGCCAAGTTTTTTATCTGTGGTCCAATTGTGGTCCTAGGGGATGATTGTTACCACCACTCCCCCACCATCACTGTCCAATACCTGGAATGGTAGGGATTCAATGTTATTGGTACACCAGGAGGGACATGGATAGGGTGAATAGCCAACGTCTTTTTCCCCAAGGTAGGGGAGCCCAAAACTAGTTTAAAGTGAGAGCGGAAATCTTTAAAAGGGACCTAAGGAGCAACATTTTCATGCAGAGGGTGGTGCATGTATGGAACAAGCTGCCAGAGGAAGTGATGGAGGCTGGTACAATTACAGCATTTAAAAGGCATCTGGATGGGGACATGAATAGGAAGGGTTTAGAGGGATATGGGCCAAATGCTGGCACATGCGACTAGATCAGTTTAGGATATCTGGTTGGAATGGACAAGTTGGACCGAAGGGTCTGTTTCTGTGCTGTATGACTCTAGTTGAGAGTCGAGGAGAGGTGATTAGCTGACTGCTTTCTCACACAGCCCTTTCCCTATAGATCTCCTGCAGCGTGGCCCTGGGCTGGAAAGGTTTGTTTCCAGCTACCAGGATTCGAGTCCCCAGTGTCGGATATGACCCCAGCTGCTGGGGACTTTCCTCCCTAACCTCCTTTTTGTCTTCCATGTTATTGGGGCTCCTTGATACCACGCTATTTTCTTGTAATGAATGGCAGTCAGTCACTCTCCCCACCGTTTTTGTATTGAACTGGTGTCCATCTTTGGAACAAGACTGTAATGTGGCCTGGAAACCAAACCAAGCAACGCAATAGCAAAATATTTGACTGAACCCGCAGGTTTATGCTGGATGGTTGAACATACTGCAGGCTGAATTTTTTTGTTTTTGTTAATGTTTAAACTCCGAACAATTCCTGTGCCTCTCTCCATGGAGAGGGAGCCCACTGTTCGACTCAGTTACTTTAATAGTTTTAAATTTCAGATGGACTTTGAGATGGCGGGGACCAGCAGCCCTATGTTGACGGAATCTCTCGGGCTGGATGACAGCGCGAACGTTGGTGGCGTGTGCGAGGTGTTTTCGGAGCTGTCGCAGTGTGACACTGAGGTAATGGAGAGCTCCTTGCGCTGTCGTCTCTATCCCTTTTTCCTGTGTCCTGTCGCCATTCTCATTGCTAACTGACTCCTCAACAGGGCACCCGTGCTGTCAAATTCCTGCAGTTGACTGTATTATGCTAGGTCTGAAACTAGAGTACCAGGTACAGTCCAACATCAGCTGAAGTAATCAGGTTCATTCAGGCAAGTCATAGATTATAGAATCCCCTACTGTGTGGAAACAGGCCATTCGGCCCACTGAATCCACACTGCCCCCTCCGATGAGCATCCCACCCAGACCTATTCCCCTGCTCTTTCCCTGTAACCTGGCATTTCCCATGTCTAATCCACCTAACTTACACATCCCTGAACACAATAGGCAATTTAGCATGGCCAATCCACCCTAACCTGCACATCTTTGGGAGGAAACCGGAGCACCCAGAGGACACGGGGAGATTGTGCAAACTCCACACAGACAGTCGCCCGAGGGTGGAATCGAACCTGGGTCCCTGGCACTGAGGGAGCAGTGCTAACCACCCATGGGTTGGATAACAACCATAGGCCCCTGGAGAAGGGCAATTATAGTGCCCACGCTGACTGGGATGTAGTGTCAGAGCAGAATGGGGCAGGCTGTGATGCCCTGATGGTGGTTAATCTCTTGCTGACTCTTTCCCTGGGCACAAGCAAGAAGACTGCCTTGAGGTGCTGCGTGTATGCAGCCAGCTGGGGAACTGCAATATTCCTAGGTGGAAGACGAAAAACAGAAATGCCCTTTTCTTTTTAATTGATCTTAAATATTTTAAACGATTTTAAATATAAATTTGATTGATCCTAGATTTGGGGTCATTGCAACTGAAATCCCAATTCTGTGCAAATGGGATGAAGGGAACTGGGGGGTGCTATGACCTGGAAAGGATAACATTGCTTTGGGATTTTAAAAAACCTGCTGCTATAAAGATACGGAGTTCACCGCAAATACTTTGCTGGTCCCAGCTAGTATATAGGGGGTAGCGCAGCGGCTCAGTAGTTAGCACTGCTGCCTCACAGCGCCAGGGTCCCAGGTTCAATTCTGCCCTCAGCCAACTGTCTGTGTGGAGTTTGCACATTCTCCCCGTGTCTGCATGGGTTCCCTCTGGGTGCTCCAGTTCACCAATGTGCAACTTAGGGTGGATTAGCCATGCTAAATTGCCCCATATTGTGCAGGGTAGGGGGTTGGGTCTGGGTGGGATGCTCTTCAGAAGGTCAGAGTGGACTTGCTGGGCCAAATGGTCTCTTTCCACACTGGGATTCTATGATCCAATGCAAACCCTAAAGTGTTTAATCAACTTTGTGTTGTGAATTTTTGCTTCAGGCCTCAAACTTGTTCACACTGAGCTAGACTTCTGGTTACCGGAACTGGAGGTGCACTGTACCTAGGTATAAAATAAAATACACAGGGGTGGCCAATGGATCAGTTTTAATATTTTGTTCTACAGGGAAATAAGAACATGACTCTGTCATCCAGCCTGGCTGCCCTTCTCACCAGCGATATCCTGATCCGGACAATGGGCATGAACGCAGTGAGTGTTGCGGACTCTGTGCTCGGGTGGATAAGCATCCTCTCGTGTTTACAAAATAAAAACCGTAAGAACTGCGGACGCTGTAAACCAGGAGCAAAAACAGGAGTTGCTGGAACAGCTCAGCAGGTCTGGTAGCATGTGTTCACTGACAGAGGTAACGTTTTGGGCCCGGTGTCCCTCAGAACCTGAGAAAGGGTCACCGGACCCGAAATGTTAACTCTGTTTCTCCACAGACGCTGCCAGACCTGCTGAGCTGTTCCAGCAACTTCTGTTTATGTTCTCATATTTGCGGTTGCTCAAGTCTTTAAGGCTGGGGGTTTGTTTGAGCTGTATGGCAACCACTTAGCCCATTGTCAGTGAAAACATTGATTCCTCCCAGAGAACCATCTATCTGAATATTACCTGTGACTCACCAATGAAGTCCCCTCATGTCTTTGTTCTACTTCTGCAATTTCCAGCTTTTTGTGAAAGTTGGTGACCTCTCAGTAGTGCAGCAGATTAAAGCACAAGGAATAAATTAGGCTGCTATCCAGCTCAGTTGTTTTGATTTTTTTTTCTCTGTTTTGGAACGTAGATGATTTCAGGCCACATTTATTGTTCGTTTCTTCTTGTACTGAGCGAGCAAATATCGTGCTCTTTTTGCTTCGGATGTGTTACACTATTCCACGGCTAATTAATTTTACTTCAAAGTGTTCAAAAAAATCCTTCTGCTTTTCTTAAAAAAAAAAGTTCTAAGATAAACCTAGCAAAACAATAAAGCTGGATAATTTTCTTTTTTAAAGTGAAGCAGTGGAGAAAGTTCTTCAGAAATGACCATTCAAGACAGGCTCCTATTTTCGATGTTTTCAGAAAGGTACAGCATCTAGTGATTTGGGAGGCCTCTAGCGTAAATTACTGAAAGCGATCAGACACAGTGGGCCAGTAATGAAGAAGGCAAATGGAATGTTGGCCTTTTAATTTGAAGGGAACTGAGTATAAAAGTAGGGCAGTCTTACTAAAACTGTACAAGACACTGGCCAGACCACAGCTGAAACACAGTGACCAGCATTTAGTTTTGGTCTCCCTGCTATAGGAAGGATGTTGTGAAACTTGAAAGGGTCCAGAAAAGATTTACAAGGATGTTGCCAGGGTTGGAGGGTTTGAGCTATAGGGAGGGGCTGAATAGGCTGGGGCTATTTTCCCTGGAGCATCGGAGGCTGAGGGGTGACCTTAGAGGTTTATAAAATCGAGGGGAATGGATAGGGTGAATAGGCAAGGTCTTTTCCTCCGGGTCGGAGAGCCCAAAACTCAACAGCACAGGTTTAAGTTGAGAGGGGAAAGGTTTGATAGGGACCTGAGGGGCAACCTTTTCGTTCAGAGGGTGGTGCATGTATGGAACAAGCTGCCAGAGGAAGTGGTGGAGGCTGGTACAATTACAACATTTAAAAGGCATCTGGATGGGTACATGAATAGGAAGGGTTTAGAGGGATATGGGCCGAATGCTGGCAAATGGGACTAGATTAATTTAGGATATCTGGTCGGCACGGAGGAGTTGAATCGAAGGGTCCGTTTCCGTGCTGTACATGTCCATGACTCTAAGTTTTTGCCCCTTATCTAAGGAAAGATATGTTGCCATTGAAGAGAGTATAAGGAAGGTTTACTAAGCTGATACTGATGGAGGAACTGTCTTTTGAGGGATGGTTGAGTAGGTTGGGCTCAGAAGAATAAGGGGCAACGTTTTTGAAACATACAATATTCTTAGAGGTCTGGACGGGTTAGACGTTGGGAGGCTTTAGAACCAGAGGGCTGCATCTGGGTTTAAGAGATTGTCCTTTTGGGACAGAGATGAGGAGGAATCTCTTGAGTGTAGTGAATCTCTGGAATGCTGTACTGTAGAGGGTTGCTAAGGCTGGGTCATTTATATTCGAGGCTGAGTTGAGGATCAGCCATGACCTCCTTGAATGATGGAGCCAAATGAGTCTGCTTCATGGCCTACTTCTGTTCCTATGTCTTTCTCTTGTGGTCGAATGTTTTCCTTTTATCTACCCTTTTTGTTTCTAAAGCTTTGACCTATTCGCTACAAAAATATTTAAAAAGCTCCACTTAAACGCATGTAAACAAATTTCCAGAAATTCCCCGCACCACTCCCAGAACTCAAATGAAACTAAAACTATGTCTCCCCCTCTTAATACACGAGAGAGGAACGAAATTCAAACCTAGAGCTATCAATGATTCTGACCACTTTGGAATCCAAACTTCCTAATAATAATACAGCAAGAACTTTCATCACGTTGTTAGTGACTGTATTGATCTCAAATTTAAAGCAGGTTAACAGTTTCACTTGAGAGTTGAAAGGACCGCTCTGGATTCAGATGAGCTTAAAGCCAGGAGGGGAATGATGTCCATGTGGGCTTGGAGGGCCATAGGGCCTGCTCCTGTGCTATATTGTTTTTTTGTTCTTTTTGTTTTTTGCTCTTACGATTAAGCTGGACAGGGATCTGAAGAGATTTACCAGGATGTTGCCGGGTATGGAAGGTTTGAGTTATGAAGAAAGGCTGGATAGGCTGGGACTTCTTTCACTGATGCGTGAGAGGTGACCTTATAGACTCTTATAAAATCATGAGGGGCATAGATGGGGTTAATGGTAGGGGTCTATTTCCTAGGATGGGGTATTTCAGGACAAGGGGGCACATTTTTAAGATGAGAGGAGAGAGAATAAAAAAAGCCATGGGGGGCAAGTTTTTTTTTTTGAGGGTGGTTCATGTGTGGAATGAACTTACTGAGGAAGTAGTGGATGTTACTATAGTTACAGCGTTTAAAAGACATTTGGGAAAGTACATGAATAGGAAAGGTTTGGAGGGATACGGGCCAAGATCAGGCAGGTGGGACTAGTGTAGTTTGAGATTAGGTTTGGATGATTTGGACTGAGGGGTCTGTTTCTGTACTGTATGACTCTATGATTTCTATAGAGCATGCAGGAGTCAGCTGGATTGAATGGCCTGACTCTACAGAAGCTGGGGTTGCACTAAGTATTCACAAAATTGGGTTTCTACGTTTTATTGCCGTTTGCTTTGTGTCTTTTTCTCCCCCAATAGGTGCCAGCCTGCAAGAGTAGGCCAGGCTTGTTTCGGTCGCCATCCATGCCGGAGAGGCTCCACAGGCCTTTCCTGAAAAGACCGGAGCGGGCTCGGGAAATGGACTGTCCAGTGAAGACTAAGCGGCAGAAGAGTTTGGACAGCCCCCTGGAGGATGAGGATCAGGAGAGGAGTGGAAACCGACCCTTGGTAAGGAGCCCAGATTGTTTGCTCAGTTAGAACCGCCAAAGTTCACAGCAAAAATCAGAAGTCATTTGGCCTACTGTCTGTGTTAGATCTTCGCTTGAGCGATCCAAAATGATCCTACTGCCCTGATCTCCCTCTATAGCAGCGTGCCTTCCTCCGGTTCAGTTAGTCTTCCAATTTTCATTTTGGATGCAATGCCCTTTATCTCAAGGACAGCACCCAGCAGCAAAGAAATCCATGCTCCGCTGTGACACAGTGGAAGGACTTGTTAGTGAGCTCTTGTCCTTCCATCCATCATTGCCATTGACTACGAAACCAGAGAACCTTGTCCCCTCCATATGTCAGGAGAGCTGCCCCTCTCAATTGCAGGCTGGTTCTCTCTTGGATTTCCTGCCTGATAGGCTCACAATGAATGAGAGGTAGTGGGGTTGTCCGTGGGAAGTGTGGGTGGTGGCAAGTGAGGCCGGCAAGGCCAGGATGGGTGGGGGTGTTGGGGCTATTCTGGGGGCAGACAGTACTGAGGGTGCACGTGTAGCTAAAAAGTGAGAGCTGCAAAAAGGCAGTGAGATGTTGAAAACGAATGAGAGTCTGCAAGAGAGGGGATGAAGGGGTACAAATGGGGTTATAAAGGTACTGTAAATGGGAGCAAGCAGCTTTAAATCTTTCAGCAAAAATATACTCCATTAACCAGGAATCAAAAAAACTGGAAGTCACTCTGATAATGACTTCCTTGTAAATGAATGTGGAGTTTCTAGCTTAAGGCTGCAGAAGTTCAGGAGATACTATATGGGGAATATGTGGTGGATGCTAATATAACGAACACTTTGCAATCGAATGACTTAATACAGACCAGTTTTATTTCACAAAGATTTGCATTTATGTATTCTCGCACCTCAAAGCATTTCACGTAGTGTGAGCTACTTGAGGAGCAGTGACAGCATTAGAGACAATCATGCAAGCAATTAGCTTTGATCTTCCCAGTCTGCAGTAGGTGATTGTAAAGTGATGGATTTCTATATATGTCACTTTTTTTTTAAGAGAAAGCTTGCTGCAATCTTATGCCATCATGTCAATTTAATTCTGCCGTTTCTAGGCAGTTAATGTTTTCCTTGTGAGTATGGCTTTGGGTTTAATGGAGGGTTGGGTTTAGAGGGAGATAGTAGGAACTGCTGATGCTGGAGTCTGAGATAACAAGGTGTAGAGCTGGAGGAACGCAGCAGGCCAAGCAGCATCAGAGGAGCA